AACTTCCCAAGAAGCTGAAGGCTGTTTTTTTAAAGTCCTACCTTGTTCATGAATCCAATGAAAAATATCGTATTTTACATTTTTGAGTAAAGTGTTTTAACATCAATAAAATCTTGAAGAAATCCTCAAGAAAGTAAAAGAGACTCTCAGAATACTTGAAATGATTCTAATATAACATGATCGTTAATCTCAAGTGTTTGGTCTGATGCAACAGATTTTATTGCACCATTGATGCCTCAGCTCATCACATGTGTTGGGGCTTGTTCTCGGCTCCGGCAGGCTGACTCATGGATCGGTCTTAAGAAAGTGGTAGTGGAATGTTGCTGAAGTCATTCGCAATAACCAACTATTTACTCTGATGAAGTGTAATTGGACTCAACCCTGATCCAAAGCGATCTGTCGTAAAATATCAGATACACAAAAGCTGCATGCAGGTCACATAATTAAAATCTTTGCACCATTTATCCAATCAAAAAGAATGATTAATGAAAAAATGCATGTGTGCAGACAAGTGTGCAAAAATCATGACGGAGAACTTTCACACTAAGCCGGTTTTATTTTTTCTTGTGTCCACCTGCAGCAACAACGGCGTGAGCGTGAGATGAGGAGGCAGCAGGAGCGTGAGCAGCGCCGGCGCGAGCAGGAGGAGAAGAGACGCGTCGAGGAGATGGAGCGGCGCCGGAAAGAGGAGGAGGAGCGCAGGAGGGCCGAGGAGGAAAAGAGGAGAGCCGACCGTGAACAGGTACGACGAGCCTGCGGTGTCGGATGAAGCCGTGGTGTTGAGGTCCTGCTAATAAATAACCAATTAAAGACAAACTTATTGGAAAAATTAACTGGGGAGCGATCAGGACACTTTGGCTTAACTTTTAACTTTACTTAGTTTATGTTTTCACATTATTTGATGTAATTCGCTCTTTTCTGACTCGGAGCTCTTGTGCACGGCTGTGTTTGACTCTCAGGAGTACATCCGTCGCCAGCTGGAGGAGGAGCAGAGGCACCTGGAGATCCTGCAGCAGCAGCTGCTCCATGAACAGGCCATGCTGCTGGTGAGTGCCTGGCCGACTTGTTAAAATCATATTCACGTATGAGTTCTTTTTTCCTTATGAAAATATAGAAGTTCTTAAAATTGGCCCCTATCCTACGTCCTCCAGTCATCCCTCATGTCTTTCTTCAAATAGATCCGTCTCTGTCTTTCCCCTCTGCCTCTATTAATCTGTTTTCTTAATATTATTCCATCTGTTATTGAGTCCCAGTGGTTATTTTTTTTAATGTTTCCACAACTCCCAGGTTGTTAAATTTCATAATGCAGGTAGTTATTATTCCTCCGTTACACAAACCTTCCTGCTCCAGTTTTCCTTCAAATCTAAACCGAATCAAGTTTTTGGATCCGCTTCACGACGTTTGTAGATCCCAGCGGAGCCGTTAACGGCTGAGGTCAAAACATAATAAGTCTTCTCAGGTTTATTTCTCGGGATGTTTACTGGGCCCTCAGCGATGGTGATGTCATCCAACAGGAAGAGGGGGGTTTGTATGACTCTGTTGTTTTGTTTTTATTTTGAAAGGATTCTCCACCTCTGGGGATCACAGAGGATATTCACATAATGAAAGGATATGACTCCTCGTATTCCTACTTCCACACTTCACACAGTCACTTTATCATCGGCTGCTCTGTCCAGTTCTCTGTCAGCGTTCATAAACTTTACTATGAAAGCAACATGCTTCCTCTTAGAGACGAATAAAAGTGTTACACATTTGCTTTGTGAAGATTTAAAAGAAATCTGATCCTTTTGATTCAAACTGTGTTTTTCTCTGTAGAGATGCAGCCGCTGGTAAAGTATCAAAACCTATAAAAATCATTATGGTCTTAATATTTCTGTGGTTTGATTGTTTTTGAGCAAAGTTAACTGCTCTAACAGACGCAACTGTGGTTGGGAGCAGGATTTAATCACATGTTTGACTTTTCAAAGAAAGCACAAGATTTACTGAAGTTATTAACGTTTTGTTTGGACTTTGGCTTATATATAATAAAAATAAAGAAAACCCTGCAGCACCAGCTTCAGCGCTGTAAAGTTTGGGTCTCATCAGTTAGAAGAAGACGGTTGCGATGAACATTATATCATAATATGTCTCTATGTGCTGACTTTAAATGTTCCGATAACGATACCAGCATCGTACATTTCTCAGATACTGCCGAGGATGCCGGGTCGGGCATCGGCAAGTACAGATTTAATACTACATCTTTTTTAGTATAATGGTTTAATCCAGTTGAAACTGCAGTTTTCTTTATGCCTACGAACCGGCAGATGAACTGATTAGAATTTGGTGGTCAAAGATAGAAGGTGGCCTCACAAATGATTTAATGTTTTTAATTATGTTTGTCTGGAACATGGTATCTTAAGATCAAATAAAATGTTTACGTCTCAGTGGTCAAAGATCACAGTGACCTTATATGACTCAGGAAAAAAAGGTTTGTGCAAATATATACACGGAAACTGCATTATTGGTGGAGGCATACAACCGTAGTGCTCTCAGGTGGAGTTAAGACTAATCTGCCAATTTGTTTATGTGTGAATATTTGAATATCTGAGAGGGAATTAAAGAGAATCCAAAGGAATTAAGTATTAAGTGTTTTAGCTCAATGTGACCCTCCCTGTACTCAGGAGTACAAATGGCGGGAACTTGAGGAGCAGCGTCAAGCTCAGAAGCTCCAGAGACAGCTGCAGCAGGAGCAGGCCTACCTGTTGTCCCTCCAGCAAAACCAGAACCTGGACAGTAGCAAAGCGGCCAAACCCCCAGAGAACCATGATCCCGATACTTTCAAACCTCCGGATACAACAAAACAACCGCAGAGCACTGACTCTGAGAAGACGCGGTCCAGTCACATCCACAGTCTGGAGAAAACTACAGACGCCGAGCGACCTGTCGCTGACCTGCAAGGCCCCGCCCCTGACTCTGAGTGTGTCAGAGAGGTGAACCCTCGCAGCTCGACCCCGTCACACTGACTCCTGTAGAATGCTTCCCTCTGCTTGTGTGTACTCACTCCCACTGCCTGGGGTGTGCTGTGTGGTCAGGTGATGGCTCAGCTGCTGGTGTGAGATGCACCGATGCTTTGTGACTATACGTGTAAATGTCTCTTTCTAAAACTCCTCGTCTGAATCTTCCAGTGACGTTGGACTAAAGTTGGGCAGCTTCTCTACATTTATACCTCTAGATGTAGAGCATTTCTTGATCGATTGCTTGTGGGAAACATTATTTTCAAACTAGAATGGCACCAAATTGCACACACTCTTAGAGATCAGTCCTTTAACTGTACCTGGTGTAATTCATCGAGATCCATGAATTATTCCTGGAATACTAAAAATGTAAAAGAAACAAAAAACGCCCAATCTGGCAATACATGTCCCGTCATTTCACCAAGTTTTGTAGAAATCTTTTCCGTCAGTAGTTTCTGCGTAACCCCTCTGAGAATAAACATCACGTTTGACTTTAGAAATGAACGGTACAAGCAAACGAACGTTCTTACCAACCAACGGTCGGGGGCGTTCACATACAGGAACCTCCTTGGCGGAGGTGCAAACACTCACAAGATACACAAACACAGTGATCGTTTCCCTCAGTGTCCTGGACCTCGGTGTGTGTCCTAACCTTCCTCCTCATGACAGATGCATGACACTCTTTGCTGGTCATGGTGCTGTTGTCGTACTAGCACGGATGTGGGAATATTGTGGCAACAATAACATTGCTGCCTTTGAGGAAGCGCTTTGATGACTTTTTCTAAAGTGCTCATCATACTCCCACTGGTAGAAATCATGTCTTAACAAACCGTAGCGTCTGGTGGCTTCTTTTCCACTCACCCTGCTCTTAATGTACTGACGCACACTGACCTCTGACCTCTCTCAGACCACTGCTGATGCTGCCGTCTGCGTGAACGTCCCTCATCTGTGCCTGTGTCCCCCTTAGGCTGATGAGCGATACCGGAAGAACATCCAGGGTTCTCCTCAGTCTGCTCAGACCAAACCGCCGCAGCCTCCGGTGCCGCCGCGCTCCGAGTCTTCCTACCCCAACGGGAACTCGGCATCAGAGGCGCCCGCCATGCACCGCCCCGTGGATCCACAGGTAACCACAGTAACCTCAAACCCCTCCCGCAGACCCTCTGTGAGCTCTTCCTTCCTCTTTGCTTCCACAGCTGTCGCACACAGGCGGCACTTTGAGTTGGTGTGAAGTTAAAGTTCGCCGCTGCTTTTCCTCCTTCAGTGTTGTCGGTTAAAGTGCAGATGGGGACACGGATGTTTCAGCAACGTGAAGCAGATTCAGCATCTTCTCATTTTAAAAGCCGCTGTGTTCCCCTCATCCCTCGTACTGTTTGTTTAATCCTGTCCACAACAGGGTGAGAAGAGTCTGTGGGAGAGAATGAATCACAAGCTTCTCAAACCACAACGTAAACATACATAGAGTCATATAACACATGTGTATGTCATATGATGCAGCCTTCCTGTTCACTCAGATGAGGGGCTCGGTCTCCACTGGAGATGCTGTGTTTTTATTTTTTGACTTCCTGTTAAATTAAAAGCTGCAGATCAGGTAACAGATCTGTGAATCCCGACAGTAGCGCTTAACATACGCCCCTTTCACATCTGGTATTAACATCCGATCATGAGTGAACACCAGCATTAGAATGTGTCTAAGATGACCTCACACGTACGTCATTCCTGTTTCCGAACACCAAATCATGTTTTATCCAGTCTGAACATACAGATGTTTGCATTCAGCTTAGTCTCCATATGATAGTCCTGCAAAAAAACGGCAACCTATGACCTTGTGCATGTCGCTCTACTGGGAAACGAAAGCTTCATCTTCATCCAGCTGTTTCTCTTCTACTTACACCAGCTCCAGATGTTGCCTGCTTCTTTAAAACCCCTTTTTTTCTTAAAATAATATCAAATCAAGTTTCTCTCTTTCAGCAGATTTCAAAATTAAATCCCTTTTTGAAGATTTGCTTGTATTTTTTTTTTTGCTGTTCTAGGTGTTTTAGTAGTTTTGCTTTTTTCCTGTGATTTCCTTCTTTTAGCTCAGCTCCTTTATGTTGGTTCATATGGAGAATTGATCAAATTGTGTGCTGTTGTTGAACTACTCTTTGTTTTTACAAGGTTTCTGCAGGGTTCTTAACAAGTCTAAAAAGTCTAGAATGTAATTATCTTATCTAGAAATAAACAGTTGAAACCCTGTTTCAACAAGAACTTGTGTTAATGTTAATGTTTAATCTCACGTGGCTGTTTTGATTTTCAGGAGATAGTGAGAGCATGAAACCAAACGTGGCCTTCATCTTAAAGAAAACTTTTTCCAACAAGGAAAATAAGAGATCACGACGCTGAATACATTTTCTTCTCCCATGACTAACGCTTTGATTGACAGCTTGTCCTCCCGTCAGATGTGTAATTACTGCAGAGTCACTTTATATCTCCAGGTGTGCACATGGTTGTGTGTTTGTGTGAACATGAGTGTGCCTGTCTGCTGGTATGTTGTGAGTTTGAACTCGACCGCCTCACTTTCTCTGCGCTGGTGATTAGAAACATCCATAATTCATTGGAACTCAGATTCGCAGCAGAGTGACTCAGACAGAATTAGTCATCTTCAAGTATTCAAAGCCACTAAGCATGAATAATCACAGTTCAGTGAATATGTCACACAGAGGAATGATGCTGTAACATTATACAAAGGGGGATGGGGGGTAATGATGTCACTGACGGGCACCGTATTTAACATTTGTCGTAATGTTAGAAGTGGATTCATGTGTTTTTTGTCATTAGGTGTGAGTCATCACATGTGACGCACACACACAGTCACACACTCACTTCACTGAGCACTGAATCAATGGCTTCATCTTCCAATCAGAGATAATTATATAGAAACTGCTGCTGAACTACTTTCATTTCCAAATTAAAAATAAAAAAAGCTGCAGTCAAAGAGAAGTGAGACAGAGAAGATCACGGTTTAGATGAAAGAAATCACCCACTGTTAAATCTACAAGCTTTCTCTCCCTGAACATCATGTGTGCATGTTGTATGACCTGCACCCTGTGTTCCCGCCTACATGTATGTTTGCATGCGTCTTCGTTCGGCTCTCATTAATACAAACATCTTCGTGCTCGGTACCGGTGGTGAAGCTCAGGCCTCCTGAATCAAGCTGAAGGTTGTCTCGCCCTAAACATCCACAGCATGGCGCTGTTCGATCTCACCTAAGCTGCTTTCAGACGTGCACTGAAGTCTTGACGGAGAAGCTGCATGTGAGAATACAAATGTCTGAGTGAGCCCATGTGAGAATACAGCAGGAACATTTCCTGAAAATTCACAGCGACTTGGAAACACTGTGTTCTTCATATGTGCAAAAAAAAAAAACTCCAGAACATGTGTGGACACGAGGTTCATGTCTGAAACAAGCTTCAGTGTTGTGTGATCTGAATTAAAAGAAGAGACTACAGTTAAAGTAGAATATATACAGAGATCCCGTTTTTTATTAATTCAAATAGTCATTTATTTGTCAATAGTTTTAAAGCTTTTGCTGAGATTAACTTTATCCTTGTAATTTATTATTTACTAGTTTGTGACATCATGTCTCTGCCTTTTTCAATCAATTATTCTGAACAGCCATTAAATTGGATCCAATATTTTGTATAATATATAACTGAAGTGGTTCATTTTTCAAAATAACCATATTCCACAAGTAGAGTCTAATACATGTGACTCAGCATCCACTCACCTTCGCCTCTTCATTTTACTTCCTGTGCATTATTGTTGTTGTTACTGTCTTTTAGTTTTTGAGTGATCGTTCCTTATTCCCTGCTGTTGCAATCATAACATGGGTTCTTTAGGGGTTCTGCTAAGATTTGGAGCCATATACCTTTTAACCACAAAATCCAAAATGCTGAAAAAGCTTTTACGAGAAGCAATAAAGCCAAATTTACTTACATTGTGCAAGTATTGTGGTTGTGACGTTCACTGGTTCCCACAGGTTGAGAGTTTACTTGTGGTGGTGGGTGGCGCGCCATGTGGCCAAAGTGTGTATCAGTCTCTCAGAGCAGTTTACAGAGGGAGAGTGTAACCCAGGTTAGCTTAGTGTGTGGCTTAAAGTTATAAAAAGGTTATGAAAATTACATGAAACCAGGAATGCTCAATATACCACGTCTAAAAAGTCTTAATCTAACCCTTCACTGTGGTGTTCTACCAGGTCCTGTTTGGCTCCAATCTGACAAACTCCTAAAGATACCCTGAATTCCCAGAGTGCACTGCATGCAAACTGACCTGACCTGCCCCCCATTTGTTCTGTTTTGTTGTCTGTAAGGTCCGCTCCCACGTGGCCGCTGTAAAGAGCAGCGGCAGCGTGGCGTCAAACTCCTGCGCCGCCACGCCGCCCGTTGTGTCGCGCTCCTTCAGCGAGCCGCTCGCCCCTAGCTTTGAAAATCTTCACCTTCGCAACAACCAGGAACCCCAACACCATCACCCTCCTCCATCTTCATCATCATCCTCAACATCATCAACGCCTGCACGCACTGACCCACAACCCCACCCCCAGCCTAGGCCCTCGCCCCATGAACCGGCCCCTTCAGAGGAGGTCCCGCCCAGGGTAAGGACGGGAAGAAAGACCCCCGGTGTAGTCTGGCAGCAGTAGTTAGATACTTGACACAATTTTCTGTTCGCTGATCAAACTGCCATTATCCTATTAATAGCTTCCCACCCTCTGCCTGATTCTCTCTGCGGTGAACAAAACATTTGTATTGAATTTTCGTCTCATATGGTGCAGGCAGAAGCTCGTAGGGGAATTACAGATGATTTCATTAAATACATATAAAAACATACATTTTTGAATTAAGCAGATTGTTTGGCAGCTTTTAAATCACTTCTCTCCCCACAAACAGGACTGTTAGTCTCCAGTGAAATAGATTAGCTCTAAATCTGTTTCCCAGATACAGACATCACCAAAAAGCAGAAGTTAGCGTCTCTCCGTGTGATGTGAATCAGCGTCGAAACAAAATGAAGGTAGCTTGTTGTTTACAGGACCAGTTTTTAAAGTCATAGTAAAATCCTGCTGCAGACACCGAGACAAGGTTAAACACCACCTTTGTCCCTCCTCACCAGATGAATTTAGCTTTTTACTGATTTAAATTCACATAAAATATAACCTCAAAGACTAAATAAGCAAATGTAGGCGAGAGTTCTGCACAGTTTTATTTCCGTCTGAATGTATAGGGCGTTGGTAAGTATAGGAAAGACAGGAAAAGTATCACGACCCATAAATGTGGGCAGTGAGAATTTAAAAAAAGTAAAGATCTAAATTTATTCCCCCCCCGAGCCAAAGTTATCTGTCTTCCAGAAAAAGAAACCCTCTGTTACAAAGTGCTGCCAAGACCTAACCGTTTATTTTAGTTCCGATACACAAAATTACAGAAACTCACAGAAACATTAACAAACATAGACGCCACAAAAGTCATTTCAGTCTTGAAGTGCAGGAGCAGCATGTCACTGAGGAAGGACTGACCTTTCATTAACATCAGTACATCTTTTCCATTTTTCCCGCCTAACCTGAATTTCTAAACAAAGCAAAACAAAAATCTGTTCATGTTAATCACCATGACGATGGCTTCACTGACTGAGCTGAGCTTTGGATGCTACCTAAACGTTTTGCATTGGCTTTACCGGAACTGATGAGCGACTCAGGGTGAAAGCTGATTCGGAACCCAGGCAACTGGAGTTTTGTTTCACAGTGATGCTCTGGGTGTGGCTGGGAGATTGAGGGGTTTTAACAACAGTTAGAGCTCAAGATCAACAAGTATTGTGGTTCGGTGTGTCGCAGTTTTTAAGAAGTTCTTCAGTGGTTCAGCTCGGTAACGAGGCTGTTGAGATGCTGCTGTTGTAAAGAGTGTGTATCACGAAGTGTGAGCCGGTCACTGTGTTTATCATGAAAGGTTCCCGTCAGGACTACATCAAGGTCGCCTGTGTTGTCAAGGCGAGACTCGCCTCATCACCAAGGCAACACCCCTCAGAGCAGCCATGCGGTTCATCGCAATGCTGCCAGGTAAAGAGACCTCACCCTCTGATTTCTGTGTTTCCTTCTTCCTCACTTTTGTTTTTACTCTCTCAGTTTTTCTCCTCAGACTTCAGGTCGTTATTGTTCCTGTTCTTTTTAATATTCGGACTTTTTCTTTTGTAGTAATCTGACTTTATTCTCATTATTTAAGGACTCTATTCTTGTTATATTATCGAATTTATTCTTATAAAAATACGACTTTGTTCTGACTCTTTAATTTTATGACTTTTTTGTTGCAACAATCGAACATTTTTCTTGTAAAGTTTTGACTTTATTCTTTAAATTTCATTATTTATCCCTTATAAGTTGCTTAATACTCGTAGCCTCTTGATTTAAAAATCATGATTCTTTGTCAGAATTAAAAAAACGACCTAATCGACATAATAGCGCAGCATCACATCTGCAACTCCACCAGTTAGTAGTCACTGTCTCTTCAATGGCTCCACCTCTGACTCTGTTGGCTCCACAGTGCAGCGGAGCCTCGGCAGCTGTGGGAGCGGGTGGAGAAAGTGTTTCCCAGAGCAGCCAGTAACAGCGGCAGCGGAGGCTCCAGTTCCTCCAGCAGCTCCAGTAACTCCAGCTCTCAGCCCGGCTCTCACTGTGGCTCTGGAGAGAGATTCAGGGCTCGCTGTGAGTGCGCACACACCGAAACAGATCAGACGACAAAACTGAAAAACACCACCTGAAAAATATGTGTGCTGAAGAAAATACCACTTTTAATGAAGATGCTACACAAACAACATCACATTTTAAAAAACAATTATCTGACCGTTTCACCTCCACCTCCTTTAGCCTCTTCCAAATCAGAGGGCCCGCCCCTCCAACGGCCAGAGAATGCTGGGAAAAAATCTGAGGAAAGAAGGGACTTGGTCAGGCCGAGCAGACCAGCGGTGAGAGTTGAAGCTGAGTGGTCAGCGCTGTAGCTCACTAGCTGGGATAGATGTAGAAATATGTTTGTGTGCGTGAGTGCGTGAGTGTGTCATGTGACCTGCTCACCATCCGATGCAGTGATGTGATGAGACGGTTGTTTTATCTTCTGGCTGCGGTACCGCTCGCTTCTTCCTCCACTGGTTCCTCTCGCTCGGCAGCAGCCATTTCAACTCACTCTCTCTCTCTCTCTC